TACCTTCCCTCTGAAATTACATTCTCTTTACTTTGTCTATGTCTTTCTTTGTACATAGTTGTTTGCATGTTATCTCCTTTAAAATGTAATCCCATTGAGGGTAAGGACTCTTTTTGCCTTCGTTTGTGGTGCTCCAGAGCTTACCACAGTCCCTGGCACATATTAGCTGCTTTAAAAATGCTAGTTGACTTACTTGACTCGAAAATATGTACAAAATACATACCAAGTAAATTTGGGGCAGGAGTGCGCTAAGGATCAGCAAAGGCTGTCACTTAATCAGAGTTTTAAAGAAAAGTGAGATTAGAATACACAAAAGCTTGATCACTGAATAGTTAGCTCTCTTCTATTTTGCAGCGTGAAAACATATGAACTGTTAATACTCCTTGTTTTTGGCAGGGTTGGGTGAGAATGTTGATACACAGGAGCAAATTTTACAAACTTGGCCAAATGAATTGTCAAATGTTTGAGTCTCTCTCCTGCATATTTTATTCATCAAAAGAGTATGTCTTTGAGAGTAACTGACAGGCCTCAAACACATTGGCAAGTTAGAGAGATGTCTACCCCAAACATGGGAAGATTTCCCCTGGTAGAATGGATGAGAACAATTTGTTCTAAAGGCCATGAAGGTAACTGAAGCAGGATTGTGGAGCACTTAGAGCTTGGTCAGACATCAAAAACACCAAGGTCATCCGTTGCACCCTGGGCATCACCAGTCATCTTGATTTTTGTCCTGCTACTGGACTTTGATGACTCTGAAGGAGAGAATGAGGCTGACAACTTTGTACAACTCTGCCTCACTTAAGTCCAATCCACACACAAGTCAAGATATTATCCCTTGATGCCATTGATGAAGGATGAGGGCAGCTAGGTGGTGTAGTGGATAGAGCACTGGCCCTGGAGTCAGAAGGACCTCAGTTCAAATACAGCCTCAGACACTTGACACTTACTAGCTGTGTGACCCTGGATAAGTCACTTAACCCCATTGCCTAGCCCAAAAAAAAAAATGGATAGACAACATGTCTTTGAAGATGAGAAGTTGCATGCTTCTTACTTAGTCAAATAGTATGTTTGGAAATAAGAAGACTAGAAAAATAAAGTCTATCTCAAACCCTATCTGGAGTAAAGGGTATTCCTCAATCCTCATCAACAGAGTCCAGAGCAGAGTTCACTGACAACTCGTTGAAAGTAACAGAACTAACTTATCCTGTCCTCTTATTCCTCCTTTCACTGAGATGATATGTATCTAACTTAGTCATCATGCCTGGGGTTCCAGTCAACTCCAGCAGGCAACAATTTCCAGCTGATTTATAGTTGCCTCCCATATCATTCTCTTGTACCTGGAAGATGCCATTGGTATCAGGCTCCATGACTGAAGTGGGGGAAAAGGAAGGAAGGACCAAGGAATTTCCAAGAAGCAACAAAGTGTTTCAGGCATAAAAGTTGGCACTTGATTGAGTAGTTCTAGATGTCCTCTCAAATACCTTTACTGTAGTAATGATACTGTCCATGATATTTCCCATACTTTAGGAAACTTCCCTGAGTACTATAAAATTGTGTCACATATAGTATGGATCTCTGATTCATGTGTTTGATTCAGTTCAATGACTCCAGTTTCGTCTTCTTAAGAGTAATGACCACTTTTTCACGTGAGGTTTGGAGCATGGTGAGGAAGCCAAGATAGCAGAGCTTGATTTCAATGATGAAAACAGGATGTTAGAAGAATATAGTCTTCCCCACCTCATAAAGATAATTCGTTCCCAAAAAAGCCTTCTTAGTACACTTCTTAGGGAAAATGTAATTGCTATTCATTTCAATGGGGCAAATTTTTATTCCCCTGAGGTCCAAAATTAACACTCATATTCAATGTTTATGCAATTAAATCTTTAATGCAAAAAAAAGGTAAAGACAAAAGAACACAATGAAATTATATGACATTTCACTGAACAAGTTGACATTGTGTGAAAAGATGAGAAGTTTGGGGGAGATTCTGAGGAGAGTCACTTTAAAAGTCTCTTGATTTTAAGGATCATGATGCTCAGGACTACCCTTCTTATAAACTAGCAAACCAAAAGTAAGCTGAGAGGACTATTCTGAGGAGATGAGCCAGTGATGGCTTTCATTTCTCTGTGCTCAGTCACTCCTGAAATACTACGAGAAATGTAAATTGGTCATTGTAAATGTGATTAAATTCCTTGCAAGATAAAGTAGGGATATGAAATGCAACTCTTCATGAAACTCGAATTCTTATAACACAAATGAACATATGTCAGGGAATTGACTGTTTGCAAAGCCAAACACCATACTAATGTGGGTTATTATTATCTTGGTCATCATCATCATCATCATCTCAAAAGAATTCCACTGTGTGTCTCAATAGTTCCTGTAAACCATCTGGTTGGGTCTAGCCAACCTTCGGAATGCCAGCTGTGCCTGAACACATTCCTGTTCCCTGTGAGTTAAGTCCTTGGCCTTTGCCGATCATTTGTTCTAACTGAGCTGACCACATAGTAACCTGGAGGGCATCTCTGCTCTTTTAAGGACAGAAGCCTTAGAATCTTGAAACATTCTCCACTTTCTGGAAACATAAGCCACATTTCCCTTACAATTCACAGAAACATAGTTGAAATTCCCCATAGAACTAGCCTACCATATTAACCCATATATTCTTTCCTACCGTTGGGAGAAGGAAACCAAATGTATTTTTTTTTCCCACTACGTAAACCATCCTGAATCCCACAAGACCTCCTCCTGCTCCAGGCTTGAACACTCTGTTACTTTTTTCCTAAGTTGAAATAGCAACCATGGCAGCCTGCGGAGGCTTCCTGGAGATTCTGAGAACATCAATCAGCTTCACAGTTGGAGACAAGGAGAAGAGGATGGCAATTCCTAGCCAAAAGCACCTCCAACATGATTTTTGCTATAATTCCATTCTTCCATTAGGGAACACATCCCATAAGACCACATACACTCTGTCCATACAACAGTAGGCAAGAGCATTACCATTTCAATCCAAATATAAGCTTTACTTCTTAAAACATTTACCTTGTATGAAACCTGAGGACGGCCCATAATAATCACATTCTTAGTAAGAAGATAGCTTACAACCACACTCCTAGCGAGAGAACTACCTACAACTTCAGTCTTGCTAAGAAAAAGTGGCCTTTAATCCCATTCTTGGTAATAAAACAATCTCCAATAACACACTGTCCAAGAGAACAGTCTACAATAATACCATGTAAAAGAGTAGCCCGCACTCATCCCATTAGTAAGAAAATGGCCTACAAAAATCACTCTCGGTAAAAGAATAAGAAAAAAACACAGATATGAGGAAAACCATGACGCTTAAAATGCATAAAGCATCTTTAATTGAATTGAAACCTGTATCTCATTTTGGAAATGTAATATACATTCAGAAATGACACAGTCATTTAGAGGCCTCAGACTAGAATTTGCCACTGGCTAGGGCAGAGAAAGGAAACAGCGAATAGTAATTCACTTTTCTCCTATTCCCAACACCACATCTAGATGTTTCTTTCTATACTTCTTATCACTTTCTCTTTTTCATCTTCTGTAGCTTATCCTAACAATATAACAGTACAGTAGTTGACAAATAACACATGAAAGGCTTATTAGATCAATGCTCCCTCAAACCCTGGACATTAGAGCAACAAGTGGGGGAAACAGCATATTTCTGCCCCTTCTTTGCCACAAACAGGGCATGGACTCCCAAAACTTGGAACTTGAAAACAAATCGCATGTGAAAACAGGACTCTCTACTTCCCTATTTTTTCATAGGTTTTTTACAAACACCAATAGAAATACAGCTATCTTCACAAATGGGATCTCCATTACAACTCCTTATTTATTTTGTTTGTTTTTCAGTCTAAGCTCAGGGGGTCATAAAATTATTGTCCCCCTGCTCATTGTATTCTGAAAACACCAATGGGAAAAAGAATGGACAGAAATACCTAAATAAATTTGCATGTATAAACCTGGTCATTTTATAATCATGAACAGTTGCTGAGATTAAAAGTAACTCTACTTGATTGGATAAGTATGAAGAATAGATGACAACCGGATGCCACAATCTCAGATGTGGAAGAAACCATAAACCGTAGATTATCAGAGTTGGAAGAGATCTTAGAACACGGAGCAAAGAATATCATGGCAGCAAGAACCCTCGGAAAGAATTTCTTAGCAAAATTTCTTGTCCAAACAAAAGTGGAATGAACAATGCTGTTAGTTCCTTAATTGAAAGATGCATGACCATTTATCAGAATGTTGTAGGAGTACTGGGGCCCAGGTAGGATGGGTTGGACTAGAGGACTTCTGAATTCCTATCCAACTGAGATCAAATGAGTCAAAAAAAAAATGGAATATCAGAGCTAGAACGTCAGCAACTTTGAGATACTCTAATCTAGCACAGGCTTTTTACAGAAGAAGAAACTGTTCTGAGACAAGCCTAGTGATACGATTTCTTCAATTAGCAGTGGAGTTGGAACTAGAATTAGCACTTTTGACAAACATCTAAGTCCAAGTGAAGTAATTTCTCTTAATAAATAAAACACATTTTAGTCATTTCATTTCCATCTGGTGACATGTGCCTGTTCCCAGCTGTAATTTGTGTCTTTTCTGTTTTGGATGAAGTATTAGTGTCAAAATCTCCTTATTTGTAGGGGAGAGAAAATCTAAACAAGAATGTTTAAATAAGATGATAGATAATTAAAAGTTAATTAGTGTGGTATAGATAGTAACTACTATAGAAGTCCTGAAGACACTGTCAGCTGAGGTCAGCAGGAAAAACTTCAGTGGGGAGGTAGAATCTTGAATCTTGAAAAAGGAGATGGAATTTGGATAGAGAAGAAAAAACTAGGAAATCTACATAAACATAATATACACAGTTGTTCTATAATTCAGCAAAGCAAATTAATATTCACTCTTCTAGTCTTTCAATTTGGTTCAATTTAGTTCACTGTGAAAATGTTTTATTTTTCTTCCTTACCATTATACTTGAAAAATTAGATGAGTTCAGAGTATAATATTCATCTACACAAACATCTTTGAATCATGGATCCGGGAGGCTGGGCCAGGCAGGCCATTATTAAAGACTCTGATCTAGCCAACATATTCCACACTCAAAGCTGTCAAGACTTAATGGAAGTCTTGATTGAAGTGACTCTGCATCCCTATTAAATGAAGAAGCAAAGTTTTAGCCTGACCAGCATGAATAGCTTTATACATATGCATGCATACACACACATATTGATGGAGATATGCACTAATGGAAATGCAGCAATTAACCTTTCGGGACCAGATTTGTGATTCCATTGCTATAGCAAGCACCTTATAAAAAAAAAAAATCCTCTGTCAATGCAGACCTTCACCTTCTCTGCAACTTGCTGCCTTAGTTTCCGGGACTTGGTCAGCGTTAGCATATGTCACAGGCAGAACTGACATCTCTTGTGGATTACGCCACCCTGCATCTAATGCTACAAATGAACTGCTTATTTTCTTTACTTTTTTTTAAATTAAATCTATTTATTTATTTATTTTTACTTTTCAACATTCACTTTTACAAGATTTTGAGTTCTAAATATTTTACCCTCCCCCCTCCCCAAGACAGTCTGCAATCTGATATAGGCTATACATGTACAATCATATTAAACATATTTCCACACTAGTTGTGTTGTGAAAGAAAAATCATAACAAAAGATAAGAACCACAAGAAAGAAGAAAAGGAAGAGAAAACTGCATGTTTCAATCTGCATTCAGACTCCATAGTTCTTTCTTTGGATATGGATAGCATTTTCCATCATGAGTCTTTTGGAATTGTCTTAGATCCTTGCACTGCTGAGAAGAGCTAAGTCTATCAAAATTAGTCATCACACAATGTGGCTGTTACTGTGCACAATGTTCACCTGGTTCTGCTCACTTCACTCAGCATCAGTTCATATAAGTCTTTCCAGGTATTTCTGAAATCTGCCTGCTCATCATTTTTATGGAACAATAGTATTCCATTGTATTCATATATCACAACTTATTTAGCCATTCCCCAATTGATAAGTATCCCCTCAATTTCCAATTCTTTGCCACCACAAAAACAGCTGCTGTAAATATTTTTGTACATGTGAGTCCTTTTCCCTTTTTTATGATCTCTTTAGGATACAGACCTAGTAGTGGTTTTGCTGGATCAAAGGGTACACAGTTATATAGCCCTTTGAGCATAGTTTCAAATTTGTCTATATTTTCAAACACTCAGATGGATCTATGATATTGTCAATGTGGATATTTCCTCCAATAAGACCATAATAGGTCCACATCTGCCTGTGTGACTCTTCTCCACATCCTTCTAAAAGTTCACCATAAGACCCAAATGCGCACAGGCCTTCCCCACTTTCTCCTGACTTCAAAAGGATCACACAGACTATCTGCTGGTTATCCCTTATATCACCACATGGGCAGCCCTGTCTTCTTTTTCAATTATATATTTGTTTGACAATATCCTTTAGCCAAGTTCTTGGTCATGGTTCTTTATTTGTTAGGTATTGCAGTCAGTTCACACCCACAATACATCTTCCCATTGATCTCTCATTTTTAATTATTTGGAGAATGTTGCATTCCAGAGCTAGCTCTTGTAAAACCACCATAGGAGAATAATGTGATGAGAAATAAATACCCTTAGTTTTGGGAGGACTATTTGGGGTCACTAAAAGACCTTTCCAACTTTCTGAAGGTAACTTAGGTTTTTTTTTTTTAATTTAATTTGGGGCCCAAATCTTTGTCTCATTTACAATGCTTATCCAAAATATAGATAGATAGATATGTGTGTATGTATGTATATGTATATATGCACGCATGTGTGTATGTATATTATAAACATATACATATACACACACTGATAAACTGTATAAAGTAATGAGTATATATACGTATTTAAATGAAATTTTTATTGTGTATAATTATATTATGTATATCATACTGCAATATGTATTTATATGCTGAGTATATACACGTACATACACACACTAAATATATGCGTATATTGTACATATACTCAACAAACTCGTTAAGTCAGCCCTTAATTATAAATCATTCTAGGGACAATACGTATTTTTTATCCACTTGGTTTTTCCATCAGGAGTAGATGGGTTTAAATCTTTTGAGTGGCTATGTGTGTTATACAGGAGGCTCTTAAGTGCCCTATGATTTGATGCAGCCAGAACAATATTATCCAGAAACAGAAACTGTAGCTATATTTAGACATGTCTTCTTCCTTCCTCCACCCCCCTTTCTCTATCTCTCTCATATACACACATTATTATATTATTAACTACATGTATTAAAATGTACACACATATTTAACCATAATTATATGGATATATACACATGTGTATATATAAATACATGTGTGCATATATAATTATCTAAAGAATATATATAATTATAGTGTGTATATAATAGGTTTGTGTGCATGTATAATGCATGTGTGTATGCTCATGCATATATATGTGTAGACATATACATGCATATATATACATGTATATTCTATGTGAACATAATTATGCATGGAGAATATATAATGATAGTATACATAGCTAAATAAGCACTGCATATATATCTGCATACATGTACATAATATATATTTTTACATGTGTATGCACACATATGTTTGTATATACAATTCTATCTATAGAATATGTGTATGTGTATACATAGATATATATGTGTGCACATACATGTGTATGTACATATAATTCTATCTAGAAAATATGTACATATATATAGTTACAGCGAATCTATAAATAAATAGGTTTATATATAGTATGTGTATATAGTTATGTCTAGAGAATACATGTATAACATAAAGCTGTACTACATAGGAAACATTTAAAATAATCTATAGGTATTGATTTATAACCTGTATAATACTATATTATATAGCATACTGTATTATACTGTATAATACTGTCTGTATAATACTAGGTATGACTTTCTAGTATTACGCAGACATGTATATGCACATACACAAGCACATACATATATTTGTTACGTTATGAAGTCCCCTACATTCTACAAGCTGCATTCTATATACTTGCTGTCTCTTGAAGCTAGATTATTTCCAGATCTAAAATTCTGCTTCCTATGTTCTAGCAAGATGAGGAACCTGTGGCCTTCTAGGTCCTGGGTGTGGCCTTTTGACCGAGTCCAAGGTTTACAGAACAAATCCTTTTATGAAGGGGATCTGCTCTGTGAAGTTTGGATTCAGTCGAAGGGCCACACTAGAGGGCCACATGTGGCCTTGAGGCTGCAGGTTCCCCACCCCGGCAGATCGAAGGTCTCCTCTTTACTATGTTTTCTAAAGGCTCCTTCTAGCTTTGACATCCCTGTATCCTAAGGTCCCATTCTATGCTGACCAGAGTCCAAGAATTTGACAAATGTAAGGGATTCGTGATGAGTCTGCATGAGCCCATTCATGGCAGAGAAGGTACTGATGCAGAAGGGGCAGAAGAGTTCCCATGCCACACGCTGTTTTTTTGAATATGTTTTTATACCTAGACTCAAATTGACAGCGATTTTGCTATCCATTTGAGCCTGATGCCTACACTCTGGGACTTCATTTCCACTTGGATAGAAAACTAGTCAATTGGTAGATAATGAGGCAATTTGCTCCCTATGAAGGGCAGGTAGTAGACGAATTAATATTGGGAAATTGTCAGAATTCATTGCTGATTACTTGCAATGCTTATGAAAATTCATTGGTCCATTAAAATGCAAAACAGAAAATATCATGCCCATTCCTTTGATAGGGGAACAGTTTTCTTGTTGCCATAGATCATGCTGGACAGTGAGCCTCTGGGTTCTAGGTTCAGCTCTGCTCTTCACTTACTGTGTGATACTGGGCAAGTCATTTCTCCCCTCTAGACCTCAGTTTCCCAATTTTCAAAATGAGGATCTTAGACCAGATTGTCTAAATTTCACCTTGTTGGTTCTACCAAGAATGGTAAGAAAAGATAAGGCAGGTTTCTGACTCATTAATTCCCTTGAAGCTTCACCCTTTTGTCAGAAAAGCACACTTTCTCTACTACCATCTGTTCTAACATACAGGCCCATTTCCACACTGGGAGACTCTACCTAGGGCCATCCTTATCTGACTATATCAGAAAAGCTGTGACAGTGGACAAACTGTCTAAGGCCCTCCATCAATCTGACAGCTTCGTTTCATACTTTCCTTTGCAAACCAACTGACTGTCCCCTGATGGACCCCAACCTGTCCTTCGTGCCTCCATGCATTCACGGAGATTTACCCCCAGTACCAAAAACACTTCCTACTCATCTCTACCTGTTGAAATATTTCCCTTCCTTCAATAAAGAGGTATTATTTTCTTTTTGACAACCCTGAAGTGTACCATGGGCTCCTTTCTCAAATTATCCAGCAATAATTGGTTCAGATCTCTGCTTTGCTCCCTCCCCACTTCTATCCAGTTTGTCTTTATTCGTTGAACATTCTCAAAACTGGAGGAGAGAGAAAGCTTAGTTAGATATCATCCCTACCACATTCATCTCATATCCCTCCTACTTGATCTCAAGCTTCTTGAGGGTAGAAATAGTTTTGGTTTTGTTTGTTTGTTTGTTTGTTTTTTAAGGCAATTGGGGTTAAGTGACTTTCCCAGGGTCACACAGCTAGTAAGTGTCAAGTGTTTGGTCTGAGGCCGAATTTGAGCTCAGGTCCTCCTGACTTTGGGGCCGGTACTCTATCCACTGCCTCAATTGTTTCATTTTTTAAACTTGTATTTCAGCACCCAGTACATAAAAGAAGGAAGGAAGAAGGCATTTATTAAGCACCTACTACATGCCAAGCACAGTACTGAATGTCTTATAAATATGATCTCATTTTACCCTCACAGCAGCTCCTTGAGAGGCAGGTGCTGTTATTTTTCCTGTTTTACAGTTGAAGAAATCAAAACAGGCAAAGATGAAGTGAGTGACTTGTCCAGGGACACGCAGCTATTCAGTGTCTGAAGCTGGCTTTGATCTCAGGTCTTTCTGACTCTAGGCTGAGAATTCTATATACACTGTACCACCTACCTGCCTTCTTTGTACATGATATACTCAATATTTATTTGTTAAACTGAAGTGAATTAACTGAATCATATCAGCTCATCCAAACTCCTTATTGTAAGGATCAGTAAACTGAGGCCCAAAGGATGGCCCTCACTCAATGTCAGCTGTTCACAGAAGTAAGACTGGGAGTAAGGCATATTGATTCCCAGACTAGTCCTAGAATATTGGAGATCCAAGCCCCAAGTCTGAAAGGGAGAAGTGATTCTCCCAAGGTCATGTATCAAGAAAGTGATAGAGCACCCAATAAATATTTGTCAACGGGTTGTTATTTTTTTTTAAACAGAGTTTTCATATGGACAGACTCAGACTTACTCAGTCTTCCCATGATTCCTTAGACAGAAACTTTAATTCATGGTCTATAGAAATTCTAGGGGATACAAGTTTGCCTAAGTCTCACTTGAGTGTCTCTAAGACATATCTGTATCTTATTCATTATTACAGCATCTCCACAGACAGTGGAGAAGGGCAGAAATAATGCAAAACATGGTTTCTAGCCGAGTTCCTCCATAGCTGGGGTGTGACGTTAGGAAGGGCCAAACACCTGTTAGAGGTTATACTGAGCCTCAGGAGAGATGGACCACATCTTTTTTCACAATAGCAAGTTTCATCTTCTTTTTTTTTTTTTTTTGGTGAGTTCCCAGAAAGGGAAATTACTTCAGTGTGTGGGAGTGGACAGAAAAAGAAATACAAGGAGCATTTACTAGACAAAGTAAGTTGTGGGAGGGAATGTCTGCTGATGGGAAAGAAGGCCTGAATTCCTTAGAGTAAAGCAGTTAAGCTGAAGGAAATAAACTTTCTCCAGGCAGGAAAAGAAACACCTTAGGGCCTAAGAGTATAACTCCCAAATGAAATGGGTCTTAGCTAACTTCTATATACATCTTCCATACAAGCTAATATCTGTCCAATAGTGCTTTATTTAATTATACACCTACTTAAAGGCTACTTTCCCCATTTCCATCTACATTGGTGAGCTGGATTCCTAGAGCTTGGCTATTTCCCTCCCTCAAAATTCCCAAAGTAATCCTGAGGAATTGGGAAGGGTTTCTAATACTCATGCTAATTAAGAACTAATAATAATTAACAAATTAATTTTATAATTTATTATCTTATAATTTAATAATTAATTAATAATAAATCGAATACTCATGAGCCCCTATCTGATGTGCTCTGTATTGATTACCAGCCAGCCTCTCTTAATCAATTCTTAGAAAGGAGTATTTAATAATGTGGTATAGTAGAAGAACTGTTGGTACAAGAACATCTCCCCAGACCAAAGGATATAAACAGGTCATTTTTAGAAAAGGAAACCAAAGTTATCAATAGTCATATAAAAAGAATGGTCTAAATCATTAATAATTAGAAAAATTAAAATTAAAGTAACTTTGAAGTACCACCTCACATCCCTCAGATTGACTAACATGACAGAAAAGGAAAATAACAAATGTTGGAAGGGATGTGGAAAAATAGGGACGTTGGTGCACTGTTTAGTGGAGTTGTGAACCAATCCAACCATTCTGGGAAGCAATTTGGAAGTATGCCCAAAGGGCTATAAAACCATGCATAACCTTCAACCCAACAATATCACTACTTGGTCTGTGTCATGAAGAGATCAAAGAAAAAAATATTTATAGCAAATGTATTTAAGGCAGCTCTTTTTGTGGTGGCTAAGAATTGGAGACTGAGGTGATGACCATCAATTAGAGAACGGCTGGGCAAACTGTGGCGTATGATTTTAATAAAATGTTATTGTATTGTAAGAAATGACAGCCAGAATGACTTCATAAAAACCTGGAAAGACTTACATGAACTGATACAAAGTGAAGTGAGCAGAACCAGGAGACCATTGTACACAGTAACGACAACATTGTGTGACAAGCACCTTTGATAGACTGGCTCTTCTCAGCAATACAATTATCCAAGACAATTGCAAAGGACTCGGTTAAAAATTCTATCCACCTCCAGAGAAAGAACTAATGTCAGCTGAATACAGACCAAAGAATACTATTTTTCTCTTCCGTCTTTCCTTCCTTCCTTCCTTCCTTCCTTCCTTCCTTCCTTCCTTCCTTCCTTCCTTCCTTCCTTCCTTCCTTCCTTCCTTCCTTTCTTCTTCCTTCATTCTTTCCTTTCCTTCTTTCTTGATTGAATTTTCTTGCACAAAATTACTAATAAGGAAAGTTTAAGATAATTGTACATGTAAAAAAATGATGAACAGGATGTTTTCAGAAAAATCTGGGTAGACTTATATGAACCAATGGAAAGTGAGGTGAACAGAATATGCACATTAATAGCAATATTGTAATGATGATCAACTATGAAAGACTTTGCTAATTCTCAGCAATACAATAATCCAAGACAATTCTGAAGGACTTACAATGAAAAATGCTATCCACCTCAGAGAAAGAAGTAATGTAGTCTGAATGCTGATCTAAGTATACTTTTTTACTTTATTTTTCTTGAGGTTTTTTTTTTGTCTGCATTTCCTTTTGTAACACAGCTAATATGGAAATGTTTTGCATGACTGCACATGTATAATCTATATCAAATTGCTTGCTTTCTTAAGGAGGGAGAAAGTGAGAGAATTCAGAACTCAAAATTAAAAAAAAACAAATATTAAAATTTTTAACATGTAATTAAGACAAAACAAAATCAAATGAATTGAACTGAATTGAAAGATTTAACTATTCTGGTCAATACAATGATCCACGATAATCCCAAAGGACTTATTACAAAAAATGCTGTCCACCTCCAGAGAGAGAACTGATGAACTCTGTTTACAGATTGAAGTATGTTGTACTTGATTTTTCTTGTCTTTTTTTTTTTTGGCAACATGGCTAATATGGAAATGTTTTGCATGACTTCAGATGTAAAATGGGTATCATACTGCTTGCTTTCTCAGTGGGTGGGGGAAGGGCTAAGGAGAAGACAAGAATTTGGAATTCAAAATTTTAAAATGTGACAAAAATATTCACCCTGAAGTTTGGGACACATTCTTTCACACGTACATACAGATTTCAGGGGAAAGTGAGCTCAAACTTAGAGACCACATGCAGCCAAAGGATAATTGTGGCTTGTGGTTATTGGAAATCCATTTACCTTTTTTTAGAGTCTTCATTAAGTTCTCCTTTGGTGTAGTTCTCTGTTCGGCTCTGGGGGTTGATGCCCTTAGAATGAATGAATGAATGAATGAATGAATGAATGAATGAATGAATGAATGAATGAATGAATAAGCATTTATTATGCTAAGTGCTAGGGATGTAAATAGAAAAGTAAGAAAGTCCCTTCTCTCAAGGAACTTACAATCTAACAGGGGAAATGACATATATAGAAAATGAAGGTGAAAGCCAGATGGAAAGAGCCCATGACCCTTAAGGTACAGAGACAAAGCACACAGTAATGTCTCTTCTTTAATATGCCATTTTCACAGATAAAATGATATTTTCTAATGTGCAACCATTTGACAGTGTGAAGTATTTCAGTGGCAAAAACTTGTTTTTCTGAGTCTCCAAAAGATGTGACCATAGCACCTGCAGGAACAGGAGCCAGGCTACATCTCCACAGGCCTTCTTTCCCAGAATAATGGCTGAGGGCACTGGGCTAGAAGCATTTCTATCCCAAAGAATCTTGGGTTCAGGGTCCTGGGATCTCCCCATCAGGATCTGAAGGGAAGTGGCAGTCAAGGTGATAGTGGTGGCTTAACTTGCCTGGCACATGCTACCTTCTCTTTCTTCCTCGGGGTTCCATGCTGCTAGAGTTCTAAGGGTTGGTGCCTTTAGAAAATTTCCAAGCTACCTTTCCTTTCTGTGTCTAACTTGTCCTTGGCTCATGGTATAGGTTGCCATCAGTGCTGAGGGTAACACTACCAACAATGCCAGTGGGAAGTCCAAAATTTCTGACCTCTCAAAGTTCACAGGGTCATCCTCTGATAAAATTTGGGGGCACAGGACACAAATACTACGTCCTCCCAAGAGATTTCATTTACCACTACACTGGCTTGCTCTTGGAATTCTGGATTCAAAATTAGATTATTGTTTTATCCAAGCTGCATTGGACATGGATGATTTTCTTCAACCAAGCATAAGACCTTATGCATATTGTGTCATCTGCTTTCATTCAATTCTTACTATCTCCTAATGGGGATGATAGCTTAAATCTTTCATTGACTAAAATGACTCAATAGAAATATCTAGGAATGGGCCGTGACTGGTTTACACCATTGATTATATAACTCAAAGAAATGTTCATACCTAATAAAGGTATCAGGGAGTAGAACATTTCATTATTTGTGTTAATTGTGGTTATGAAAAGGAAGACAGTCCCTGTTTTTAAGATTACATTCTAATGGAGAAAAACAACACAAAAAATAGAGCTGAAATGCAACTGACATGGGGGCATAGTGTCCACAACGTCCAGAACTTCAGAAATAGAGCTGGGAAGGGAATGAACATTGGCTGGCATGGGTCTCTCCCCCAAAATGGAAGCCCCAGTAGGACTCCTCCTGTGAATATATCCAATGAGAAAAGGGGGCCAACATGGTGGAGGGAAGTTCCAGGGTGAGATAGGAGGTGAGACACAGTGGTAAAGTCCAGAAAGTCAGAAGTAGAGCTGGGAGCAGGATGGACTGGATGATACAATGACCTTGGGGCAAGTCCATGGGCATCAGTATCATCCTCTAGCCTGAGCGAGAGCCCCAGGACTTGAAATCAGAAGGAAACTAGTTTAAATCCTGCCTCAAGCACTTCCCAGCTACATGTCACTAGAGTTGTGCCTCAGTTTCCTCATCTGTATATAAGGATAATAATAGCATCTACCCAAGGGGATTAATATGAGAATCAGAGGAGATAATGTATATAACACACTTGGCAAACTTTAAGGCACCATGTAAATGTGAGCTATTATTAACTTCAAAATCACAAAGATGTATATAGGAAGTCAGTTTAGCCACAACAGGGGCCAGAGCCGACTAATGTATCCTACCAAACAAAAAAGATTCTTAGGGCCAAGTTGTCAGCCCTGCCACTATTGGGCAAATGAGCAAACTAGGCTCCCATCAGTAAGTGTCAGGCTTCCACAATCCCTACTATGAAGATCAGAGAAGAGAGCAGAATTTTTTCACCTCCCATTAAAATTCACTCTGATGAGGACATTGGCTTCTCAGCTACTGACAAATGGCCTGCCAGACTGTGCAGGCTTAAAACTGGCAAGACCTTTGGCAATCACTTACTGAATCTCTTTAGGCCTCTGTTTCCTAATTTGTTAAACGGGGATGATAAATTGCAGCACTTTCTCCCTCACTTTTGTCAAAGCACATATTTCACAGCTTCCTCTTCCCTTCTATTTTATAGGAGGCATAGAGTATCCTTACACTTAGCTATGTCCATACAACTGCTCAAGAGACGCAATATTGTATGGTGTTGGGGTTCTCCTCCTTGGAAGTCTTGAAGCAGAGGTTAGACTACCCTCTAGGTTCTCAAGCTCAGCCCTTTGACTGAATCCAAACTTCACAGAACAGATCCCCTTAACCAAAAGATTTGTTCTGTAAAACTTAGACTCAGTCAAAAGGCCATAGCTAAGGACCTAGAAGACCACATGTGGCCTCTAGGCCACAGGTTCCCCACCCCTGGGTTAGATGACCACTTTAGGTATGCCATAATGGGAATTCCTTTAGTATATAAGTTGGACTGGTAGCCACTGATGTCCCTTCCAATTTGCAAAATTTATGATTCTTTGATTGGTCTTCTGAGCCCTCCCTCCTCAGTTTGACTGCCCTGCATCAACCTTTTCCTGGGAAAGCAAAATATTCTCATCTGTTCGAAGTGATTCCATTTCAGCCTGAAGGAGAGAGATTGTCACTCTTCCTCAGTACATACAGGTAGAAGACTGCATGACCCTCCTGTGTCTTTGTAAATTATCATGATGATCTATTTCTAACAAGGAGATGACTTTCCCTTTATGTGACTCACTTTTTGGTGAATTCTCTGGTCATCTGAAGCCCAGAATTTCTTCAGCATTGGATATAGATTTCATTAATTAAACTGCATTTATTTTTTTTCAGCCTTCTTCATATCCTAACAAATAAATAATAAACAAAACAAATCAATAAATATTCTTTATCTAATTATTTAATTAATAATTAATTAATTAATAATGCTTCTGTTTATATATTAATTAAATAAAACAAATATTAAAATAAATTATAATAATTAGTAAATTAAAACAAAAATTAAAATGTTTAAATTAAATAAATAACAAATAAATAAATGAAACACCTCTTAAATATCATAGATTTAAAGAGGTTTCTGAGTAGCACCTCAAACTCAACATGGCCAAGAGTGATCTTTCTCCTAAAATATGCCCTCCTGGCATCACTGTTTCTGTCTGTGGCACCACCATTGTGCTGTCTTACGTATTCAAAACTTCTAGACTATCTCTGACTCTTTCTTCTCACTTATTTCTCACAAGTATCAGTTATTATGTCCTGCTACTTCTTCTACAGCTCTCTGATCCATGCACACCTGTCTTAGCTAAGCTTTCCATCTCCCCCAGTGCCTAGCACTGTACTCTCTACAAAACAGCCGCTTTTAATAAATGTCAAATTCACTTAACACCTATATGACCTTAGGCAAGTCACTGTAGTAATGAAGGACTACATGACCTCTGAGGTCCTTTTCAGCTTTAAATCTATGGTCCTATGAACTGAACCACTATATTAATCCAAATATGTTCCAACTCAAAGTCCACATGTTCACTATCCCAATAATGAGATTGCTTTGAAAAAGAGTAACTATTGTGTAGATCTAGATTGTTAAATTTAAAAAAAAATTGAGGAAAAAGTGAATACTAAATTCATAGCAAAACAACACATATGATGATGAGTTTTATGTAGTTTCTCCCTGAGCTTGTTATCTAAGTTTTGATCATTTCAGAAACATTTGCATACTTTCTTTAAGAAGTTTACTGCCAATCCCCAAAGAACTTGAAAGCCTATCAATTTCATCTGAAAATTTAAATGTCTTAATAAATATGAAAGAAATTAGAGGTGTTCTGCTTGGCCCCAGGGGATTGAACTAAAAGCAATGGGGAAAAGTTGCAGAAGGTTAGATTTCTATTTAAAACAGAGAAACATATCCCTCACAGTCAGAGCTCTCCAAAAGTGGAATTGCTCACCTCAGAAGGGAGTGAGTTCCTTATCACTGGAAGTGTTCAAACAAAGGCTAGAGGATTATTCTGAGGGATGTTATAAAGGACATTCACATTTCAGGTAGGGGTTGGACTCCATAGCCCCTGCCTGAAGTCCCTTCTAGGTCCAAGAATTTAGGATTCTACAATTCTATTATTCTGCATCACAGAGTCAATGGATACCTCAGGGAAGGATTTCAATTCTACCACCCACTGATCCTTTCCAATTTGATTTTTGATTCAATTGAACACATTACAACAGTACAAGCTATCTTTTCTTTCTCTCCTTCTTGAATTTTCTAAAAAGAGTCTCTAGCAATGGTTAGGTAGGCAACAAAGATTGATGTAGTAAGGTTAGAAATGAAATGGTGATGACTTCAATGTTCTATATAACATTATATATATGATATAATATAATATAATATAATATAATATAATATAATATAATATAATATAATATAATATAATATAATATAATATAATATAATATAATATAATATAATATAATATAATATAATATAATATAATATAATATAATATAATATAATATAATATAGCTATGAGAGCTTTGGCATCATTAGGAATTCAAAACTTAGATAGTATGTTCTTACCTGTCCTTTAAAACCTAACTCAAATATCACTTCCTCCAGGAAAACTTCCCTATCACTCCCAAACAACCTTCAGTAACAGCCCTTGCCCAGCACTCTGCACCTCTCTCATGTCTTCACCTGTGTCATGATAGTAATAGCTCAGGTATCTGGTCAAACTGTTTACAAACTGCTTTCCCTAACGACCACCCTGTGAAGAAGATAGTGTAAGTGTCATTATCTTCATTTTATAGATCAGAAACCCGAGATTCAGAGAAGAAGTAAAAAATGACTTGTCCCTGGTCACACAGTAAGTACACAGATTGGAATCCAAGTATTCTGATCCCTAATCTAGTATGCTTTCAACTATGCCATGTTGCCTCTCCTGCAATGTCAGATACAATATTTGTAAGCATATACTTTATCCTTCCACTAGACGCTCAGCCGGATGAGGGCAGGGACCCTATCACTTCAATTTTATAATTTCCCCCATCATCTACTACAGAAGTCTGCACACAGATTTAATCAAGCATTTCTTGATTGGTTGGATGAATAGTCATTGCATTTTCTGTGGGAAGTCGCATTTCTCTAGTTTTCCCATTTCTTTCCTTGTTCTGCACACACCAGAGAACGAAGAAAACATCTTTCTCCCACTTGAGAAATGTCACTTGTTCATGACTCACCTCCCCCGTGTAGATTTTGCCCTAGGGCTACTCCACTTCATCCTCGTCTCAAAGCTCTGCCATGAGCAGTTGATTCCCAGCGTCTGTTCCTAGCTCACCACATCCAACCTGTATGTGTGGTTTGTCCTTCGCATCCAACCTGGAGACAGTTTAATCATTAGCGATTTTAAGTATCGGGTGCCTGCTTTTGTCAGTAGGGTATGGTGGATACCACTTGACCTGGAGATCGGAAGATCTGGCTATGACACTAGCCACGTGACCTTCAGCAAATTAGTTCCTCTCCCTTGTCCTTAGTTTCTCCTCCCTGTAGATGAAGAATAGTCCACCGCCATGCCCTTGTCCCCCAGAGCTCTTGTTAGGAAAGTGCTTGGCAGATCACAGGACAGTATAGGGCTTGGGGAGGCAGTGTTGCCGTGTTTCGATTTTGGTGGTGGTTGATTGTTTAGTTGGTTGCTAGGTTACTTGGTTAGTTATCAAGTCGGAAGGAAGCTTTCATGAGAACAAATTAGAAGCGTTCAATGTTCTTGTTTTAAGGAAACCCGCATCATTCATGACAGCTGCTCCCTCAGGCACCCAAACTCATAGAGTTTCCAACATTCTCCCAAGGAAGGGCTCACTTTTTCCTACAACCCAATTATCTTTCTCCATGTTTAATTGTTGTGTAGAGCTCAATTCTACAGGGAGGCAAGCTGGGTGGGCAGTAGCTGCAAAAACCTTAAGTGTTCATAATTCTTCTTTCCAAAACTCTCCCTCAGCAGCTAGTTAACAGAATGGATAGAGAGCGAGACTTGAAGTGAGGATGACCGAATTTAAATCCTGCCTCAGATACTTGCTAGCTGAGTGACCCTGGAAAAGTCACTTAACCTCTCTCAGACTCAAGTCCCTCATCTGTAAAATGGGAACAACAATAATAACAATAGTATCTCCTTTATCGTGTTCTCAAAGGATCAGATGAGTAATGCATGTGAAGAGCTTTGCAAATGAGAATGTATGGGAAGGGCTATAGGTTGGAGCTATTATTATCCACCTCATCATCGTCATTATTAGCTAGCTTTGCCTCATTTGCCCCCCCCATTCATCTGTCCTCTCTTCACCCAACTGGGAAACAAAAGTCTTGGGTTTGAACCCTGACTCTGTACTTGTTAAATCTGTGACCTTGGACAAGGTACTGTATGTTTTCAAGTCTTGGTTTCCTCATCTGTAAAATGGGAATAATAACTCTTATCTACCTCACAGGGTTGTTGTAAAGATAATGCCTGCTATAAATTGTGAAGTGTTTTTTGTTTGTTTGTTTAGGCAATTGGGGTTAAGTGACTTGCCCAGGGTCACACAGCTAGTAAGTTTCAAGTGTTTGGTCTGAGGCCAGATTTGAACTCAGGCCCTCCTGACTTCAGGGCCAGTGCTCTATCCACTGCGCCACCTAAATTATGAAATGTTTTAGAAAAGAGGGCTATTATTACCAATTCTGAAATGGGTAAAAAAGAAAGGTATTTTTTTCTTCTTGACCAATAAATATTTTCCATTGTGATGCTCTTGACCTGCCTTAGCCATATTTGTTTCATTAGCATTGCCTTAAAATTGTGGAATTCTAGAGTTGGGAGATCCTTCAGTGACATCTATTCTAACCTACTCCTAAAACAAACTTCTCCTCCACTATATCTCCAATATGAGGATATCCAGATTCTATTTAAAGATCTCTGATGATGGGGAACTCACTACTTCCTATGACAGCCATTCCACTTACAAGTACACAGCTCCAGACCCTTTAATAAATCCATTATCTTTTCCATGTGATTATGCCTTCCACCATTTGAGATTGCTCTTCCATGCCTTCCTAGACGGGAATTCTTGCCAAGAGGTTTTTCAACAAATTCTCCAGAAAGTCTCTAACCAACACACTGGAGGTCTTTTTTTTTTTTTGGTAATTTGTTTTAAAAATTTTGCAGATATCAGTCCCACTCTCAGGCCATCCCTCAGTTAGCTGTTGCTTTTGTTATATGACTACCCAGCCTCCTTTTCCACTCAAGTGTGTCTTGGTGCTGCCTTTTACATCGCTTCTCATGCAACGTGTCATCATTTGGTAATTTGCTTGAGCCTGCTGACACCCACCTTGCAGTGTCTCCTTGCCCTTCTGGTCACCTGCCATTGTAATTCTTCTGAGATTGGAATGTTCCATGATTCACGGCCATACAGCATTACTCAAAGAATATTGGCATTGAAAAGATTGCCTTTTGCAGCAGCAAGCAGTACTATCAACAGGAACATTTTTTATTAAAAGAAGAAAAACAAAACAGAGACCCTTGCATAAGCAGTCATTAGTCCTAAGGATGCAAATCTCCAAAGTCATTTTAACCTTCTTCATTTATAACCTGCACTTACTAAGTGGCTTCTCAGGCCTAATATGGGACAGGGTAATTGTTCCACATCTCTGGTAACACAAACATAGGTCAAGGCACGTAATTTAATGGGCCAATAACAGAACTTAGAATAATAACAGCTCACTTTTCTAGAGCACTTAACATTCTACAAAGCCGTTCTCTCTCAACAACCCATCAAATAGTTTAAGGGTTGTCACCTATAAGAGAAATTGGACTTGTTCCATTTGGAAACAAAAAGCAGAACTAGAAAAAATGGATGGAAGATACAGAGAAGCAAATTTTGGCCCAATAGTTTTAATAACTAGAGCTCTCCCAAAGTGGAAAAATAGTTTACTTTAGAAAGAAGTGAGTTACCCTTCAACGGATATCTTTGAGCACAGGGCAGATGACTAATTTTGAGCAATATTTTGGCAGGAATTCTTGTTTAGGCACAGTTTTGACAAGATGACCACAATAGACCTATTCTAGGTCTGACTAGTATTATGACGCAGTGACCTTTGAAGTCCCTTCTAACTCTGAGATTCTTTAAATTTGTGATGCTGTGAGACTCTCCCTGTCATCTCCTAAGTTCCAGCCACACTGCTGTTCTAGGTATTCTGATCTTATCTTGCCATCTCCTAGCTCTGTACATGGGCTCATGATATGTCTCACTGCTGGCGCGTACTGCTTCCACGTCTCTGTGACATCCCTCTACATCCAACTCAAGTGTTACTTCCTCCAGAAAGCTGTCTCTAATTTCTCCATAAACTTCTTTGACTTTTCCTTATGCCTTCTATTTCTAACTTGCATTATAATCATTTGTGTACATTTTTCATCCCCAATTTAGGCTTTTGATTTTTATATACATGCCCGTAGCAGCATGCAGAGTGCTTTACACACTTAATGTTTGTTGAATTGAATTAATGTAGATAATCCAAGTATTATTGATATTCCATAGACTCTCAGAGACACATCTATACTGATCTAACAGGTGCGTGAACACAAATCCCCCTTACACCATTTCTCAAAAGGAACCATCCAGTTTCCACTTGAAATTGTTCACTGAAAGGGAATTCATGGTCCCTTGATGTAGCCAATTCTACTTTGGGACAGATTACATTCTTTGGAATTTGTTCTTTTTATTAAGCATTTAAGTATGTTTCTATGCAACACGTACTAATTGATCTGAGCTCAGCCCTATGAGGAAGAAGTAGGATAAATTTCATCTCTCTTCTCCATGACAATTCATCAAATACTTGAAGATAATTATCATGTGCCCCTTAAGCCATCCTCTTAACTTGATTAAACATCCCCAGGACCTTCAACTCAACCACAGATGATGTAATTTCCCGTCTTCTTACTATGATGGTTCTAAAAAATATATCTCTTATCTGAATACTGTCTTCCAGGTGTGGACTGACTAAAGCAAAGTATAGATAACAGGACTATCCCACCCCATACTCTGTAAATATAACTTAGACTCACTTTAGATTTTTAGACTGACAGGTTTCACTGTTGATTCAATGAGCCTACACTCAGATTCCCAAATCTTTTTTCATGTGAATTAATGTCTACTCACACCTTTCCCATCCTGACTTGTATAATTGATTACTTGAACCTGTATAGACATTTGCACATATTCCAATTATATTTTTTCTTTGTAGCCCATCAAGATATTTCTTTATATCCTATTTCTGCCATCCAACATGTTAGCCACCCATCCCAGCTTCCTGGAATATGCAAATATATTAAACCTGTCATCTATGCCCTCATCTAAGTCATTGATAAAAATATTGAATACCACAAAGCCAAACACAGATCCACTAAGGATCAATCTCCAAAATGACATCATATCAGAAGCACTTTTATGATGATTCTTATTTAATAGCTTTATACTAAAAATATGATTAGTATTCATATTTCAGGACATAATGAACCTCCCTTACTACTTCTGAATGTTTACTAGTAGGGGCACATATGTAAAAAGTATATTCTATTTTCTGTAATTCTATCTTGGTATTCTTTCAGTATTGTGACCCAATCAAATCCAACAACACATCTAGCTAAATGTATGTCTTGCCTATATCTCATCATTTTGTTCATAAGCCTAGTATTGGAGACCGTCAAATGTCTCACTGAAAATCAAGTATTATATGTCTACGGCATCCCCAGATCAATCAGTCTAGTAATTGAAGCGATCACCCACTGAATCCTGGGCCATCACCAGTTGTCTTGCCTCTGGACTCCGATGACTCTGGAGGAGAGAGTGAGGCAGATGACTTTGAGCAGCTCTGTCTCACTTAAATCCAATTCACACCTGAGTCAAGACATCACCCTCATGATGTCATTGGTTCTCTTCAGGAACAAAGAAGGAACAACAGGCTAGTAATCTCATCCAAAAAGAAGAGAGTTAGACTGACATGACTTGTCCTTAAAAGAGTCTTACTGGTTCTTAGAAATCGTCTTACCATTTCTAAGTACTCTCAAACCAATCGATCAACAAGCATTTTTAATGTCTACAATGTGACAGGCACTGTGTCAGACGCTGGGAATATAAAGACAAAAAGGCAACATTCTCTGCAGTTAAGGATCTTATATTTTATTGGAGAGGCATGCACGTATATAAGCATATAACTATATGTATGTATATATATATATATGCATATATGTGTAGGCACATATACAAAATGCATGAGGAAGCATCTGGGGAAATCAGGAGATTTTAGGTGGTATTTGAACTGTCTATAAAAATTAATAACGATAATAATAATTAATAATAATGACTAGCATTTATATGATGCCTAGTATGCTCCAGGTATTGTACTAAATGCTTTACAAACATTATCTCATTTGATCCTTCCAATAACCTTTGGAGGTAAGTGCTATTATTATCTTCATTTTACAATTAAGGAAACTGAGATAAATGGAGGTCAAATGACTTGCCTAGAGTCACATAGCTAGTAGGTGTCTGAGACTAGATTTGTACTCAGATCTTCCTGACTCCAGGCACAGCACTCTATCCACTGCACTACCTCCTTAGAATCACAGAGAGGAGGAGGT